AAAAGTTATCCTAACATCTACAACACGAATTATACGAGAAATTTATATATTTGGCCATTTCTTTAATGATTTTTTTAAGTTTTAGTTAAAAATTAATTAAATATCAAAAATAATTGAGAAAGTGATCAATGGCGTAGTTTCAATCCTTCCTTTGAGGAATCGAAAATATAATTTGTATAAAAATTGGTGAAGGTGAAGCCATAATCAAAAAATTTTATTTTTAAGCCTAATATGTATAAAATTATAAAATTAAAATATGGGGATTATTTCTCTCAAAAAAATCAAGGGGGCTGGCCCTACATAAGAACCACCCATGAAAGTGATTTAAGGTTTGTTTGGTAGGATCTGAATTTTTAAGATATTTGAAATTCTAATAGGGTTTGAATTTTGAAGATCTGAATTTTTAAGATATCATTTTACCTTTTTGTATCATTTATTTCAATTACTAGCATTCTACTTTCAATTACAACATTGTACTTTCAATATCACAAAATCAAAGATACATTTACTTCACAAAAATCACAAAATCAAACATCAACCTTCATATTGATAGAAAAATGTATCGGATTTACATAAGCACCAAATTTGATCCACAACAACACTTCTTTCATGCTTCAACTAATTTTCTATCAAAGTGCAAAAACAAAATTTTATATCAAAGTACAAAATTAGTTAATTCAGAAACAAGAACACCATACTTCTTTCATGCTTCATCAGGTCATCTGGGCTATTGAACGAAAAATCAAATAGAAAATAAAGACCCATAAATCGGAAATCCAAAATTGGAAAAGATGAGAATGATGACAACATGTGGCGGAAAAAAGAACAGTCATAGCAAGAACATTAAGGAAAGAATATGATTTCAAACAAATAATCTGATTTCTACCAACATCACAACCATTCCATCGAATATAATCGAGTTTTAGGGAAAAAAAACTTACCAAGAGCGGTGTTTTGACAAGGGATCAGGATGGCTTTCCTTTCGGCGACGATCGTCGGAGGTGGGTTAGAGTCGATGTGGCGCAGCAGTCGCAGCTAGAAACGGCGGTGCAATTGAAAAATCAACTATTTTGACGAAGGAAGGTGGCGCTACCGACAGAGATCGAGGAGGCGGCGCAATCGACGAAGATGGAGGCGGCGAAGTCGTTGATGGAGGGAGGCAGATCGGAGAGGAAGTGAAAGGGAGAAGTGGGTGCCGGTCTCGTGCAGTATGAGGTGAAGAAAAGAAGCGTTGAAATTTTGGGGGTACAAAGGGGAAAGACGCATTTTTTAAAATTTCAGACATTGTTCTACATCTGAAAGTTTAAGAGGCATTTACAAAATTAAGAGGCAAAAAATAATAGGCTACCAAACAGACTGAATCCTAATTTTTAAGAGACTGCCTCTTAATTTTCAAATTAAGAGGCAAACAAACAGCCACTTAGGAGGGTAACTACCTCTTATGTTTGTTCACATATTAGCAACTTCTTTTTTTGTACACATAAAGCCAACTAACTTGTTTTACGTGATCAATTTACACCAATATTATCGGTTGTTTTAACTGATGTGGCTAAATCCAGGCTTGGCTGGCATATACAAGATAATACATGGCATCTACGTGTCATACTACACATCATTCATTATATAAAGGGTGTTATATGTGATGAGTTTTATACAAACAATCCTATGTGTGCATGCAACCCTAGATATGGATCTATGTTTTCACTATTAGATACGCAACATTATGAACACATGAAGAACCCTAGCATGCTCCTAGGAATTTCGAAATTCATGAAGGAGAATGAATTACATACCTCTTGTTGTTATGTTGTAATAACAACTTAAATCTTGAATCTTCTTGTCCTTGAAAGCAAGTACCACAAGTGTAGTACCTCTAATGGCTCACAAACACCAAGAGCAAATTGAGAGGCAAGAGAGGGAGAGAGAGAGGGAGGAGGTGAAAAAATTCGGCTCTAGAGTTCTTAGAGAAGAAAGTGGCTGATTTATGTAGCCTAAGGGTCTTATTTATACTGTGAGCAGCTAGGGTTTCCTCCAAAACCCTAATGGACAGCTTAGACATTAAGCAACCCATGGAACCTACTGGAATAAGGCCATGGATGAAAATATGACGGACTCCCATCATAATTTCGTTCATCCCTTTGTCCCATTGGGTTTCCCAACCCAAAATCCAACTATCACACATTTGACAGTTTAAGTCTCTTTATTCAATTAATCTCTTTTAGTCACCAGATTAATTCTTAATTAATTTATGACTAATATTAATTAAATAATATGATTTCTCTTTTAATATATAATTCTTATAATATATTAATAAACCATAATAACCTCTTTCTCTATTATTTCTCCAATCAAGTTGCTTTGGTGAAGGCAACCCAAAAGGACCATGCACAACCGGGTCAAGTACTTACCAAATATGGTTACGAGCTTAGACACTAATTCAACAGTCTCCTACTTGGATAAGTCTAGTAACCATAAATGCAAGTAGAATCTGATTAGCAATCGTAGCTCTCAAAGACGTTGTCGAACTCTGACCTTATCAATAAATTGTCCTTTAGATAAGGGATCGTATGATCCTCTGTTCTAGATATCGCGCAGACAATCACATGGAACATATTCATACTTATTGTCCAGCAGTTAGTTTCTCAATCTCAGATTCGTCTGACATAGAACTTAATCAAACACATCAATTCAGTCCTGACCGGGCCCGACACATAAGTCAAACCAAATCATCGAGGGGCCCTGATATCGCTTTTACCCTCTTAGGATAATAGGAACAGATAAACTTCGACTTATAGGCATTTACTATTCACTAATCAAATTATACACAATAATGCGTTTTATAACATCAAGTTACTGATGCGTTTACGCATTATCAATGCATAACCAATCACTAAACAATAAACCATATATCTAGGTTTTAAGATCATATGATATTATCATCTTGCGATCACTCGAGATAAATTCCATGAAATGATTCCAGCAAGCGTGGGTTTATTCCAATGCTTAAAATTTGTTCATAAGCACTCATGAACATTGTAGCAAACATTTGCTATGTCTAATACCTTTCAGACAATCTACACACCAATTCATGACAGTCTTCATTCATACCTACTTCCAACATATGAACGACTGTGGACCGTTTAAATAATCTTATTATTCAGGAAGTCAAAACATGCAAAATGAAACAATAGGTAAACAGTTAACACAAGATAGTAACCTTACTTATAAATAATACCATTTATTTAATCATCAAATGTCAATTACATTTATATATTACACGTTTCTAATCTATCTAATCTAAACTAATATCATCCCTCAGCCCAATCCTCCTAACGTGTTGCAGGTGCTTAACCCTACTCAGTCCCTTCGTAAGTGGATCTGCTGGGTTATCCTCTGACAATACCCTCTTTACTACGAGGAGCCCTTCTTCAACCTAATGTCAAATAAAGTGATATTTTATGCCGATATGCCGACATCTACCATGATCCCTTGGTTCCTTGGTCAAGGCAACCGCTCCTTCATTATCACAGACAATTTACGTGGCTTTTGTATGGCTGGCACAACTCCAAGGTCTCTGATGAAATTCTTCAGCCATATTGCCTCCTTGGATGCTTCGCTCACTGCAATATACTCTGATTCACACGTTGAATCAGCTATTGTTTCTTGCTTGGAACTTTTCCAAGTCACAGCTCCTCCATTTAGGGTAAAGACCCAGCCCGAATGTGAACAATAATTATCCATGTCGGTTTGAAAACTAGCTTCACTGTACCCTCGCACCTTTAAGTCATCACTCCCACTGAGAACTAGAAACCATTCCTTGGTCCTCAGAAGGTACTTAAGGATATTCTTGACGATTGCTAGTCGGGTTGTGGAGTCGTATGCGCAATAATAGTTATTAGAGTTATCCAAGTGGGAGACTGTTGGATTAGTGTCTAAGTTCATAACTATAATTGGTATGTACTTGACCTGAGAGTAGCATGGTCCATTTAGGTTGCATATCACAAGGACAATTTGATAGGATGGACTTTTGAGAAGAGGTTATTTATGGTTTATTATGAGTTCTAGTATATTAATATGAAATCATATTATTTAATTAGTATTGATCAAGAATTAATTTGGAATTAATTTTATGATCAAAAGAGACTAATTAAATATAAGGGGTTGATTTGGTAAATCATTCATTCTTATAAAGTGGGCTTATGATCTATAGTTCTTCATGTTGGGTTAAACCCATGTGGTAACCCATGGATACTCCATGGAGGTTTTAACCCATGGAGCATGAGGATATGGAAAGTCATTAGGGTTTACATGGTGTAACCCTAGTTAGCCACATTATATAAGAACCCCTCTAGCTCATGAAATCAACACTTAAGTGGAATACTAGACGGCTAGCCGATTTGTGTCTGCAAGGAATCTCTTCTCAAGTTATCCTTTGTTATAGGTGTGTTATGATTCCATTTGAGACATTCATACTATTGGTGCTAGGCTCTTAAATCTCCAAGCAACAAGCTACAAGAAAAGGTATGTTATCTAACTTGTTTTATTACCCAAGTATCAAAGTTTTGTATGCTAGTTAAGGTAATCCCTTGGAAAGTTCAAGTTTGCATGTATAATAGAGAAAACATAGATCCAAGGTATTTAGGGTTTCATGTACACCTTAGGAGTGTTAGAATGCTCAAAACCTATCACATTCTTCATCTAGGTTGCTCAAAACCTAAAGGGACAAGTCTTGTTCTTCTTACGTTTACAATATTTTGCCAACAACCTTTGATGATCAGTTTTTCATACCATTAATCATACCCATTCTTGACGGCATAGTTGGTTAGACATAGCTTCAATTCCAATGGGTTGGAAAACTTCATAACTAAAATTGGTACCATTTTATCACATTCTTGATTCTCATCAAATACATGGAACACAACCTCATCATCTTCATTATTGGCTTCATCATCATCATTTACTTCTTCTTCATTACTATTAGGAATGGGTTTACCACACAACTAGTTCAAAAATTCACCATCAATTGTTTTGTCAAAATTATGCACATCTTCATCAAGTTCATGTTCACATTCATTTATATCTGAAATATGTGAGTTTGTATCATCATTTTCTACCAACTCAGAACACTCATCACCAGCTAACACCTCCTTATCGTCCCAGTCAAGAATAGGTTCATTTTGGTGGTCAATGTAGACATTCATTCTTAGCTCGTTCTTAGGCATGTAACCATCTTCAATAAACTTAAAATAATCAGCATCATTGTCGATTCTTCTAATACCTTCTGCCAATGTTTCATTTCTACTACAATAGTACAAATTTTCACACCTTCCTCTAGTCAACTTTGTAACCCATAACACAAATTCTCTATAGTTCATGCCACCAAAATCCACATCACGAACTGACATTCTTGTAGGGTCTAAGTACACTAACGTGTTTGGTGCAAACATTCCATTGTAGTGAAAATCTATTGTAAGATACGTACTGTTAGATGATTCTGACATGTTAAAGTCGACGATTTCCAGTCTCGGCTTCAATTTCAAACAATTAGCACCTATTGCTTCGATCGGGTAACATCTGGACATCCAGATATGGGAATTTGAGTATTTTATATTGGGGAATGAGGAGACTCGGCGAGTTGACGCCTCAACTCGTCGAGTAGGATCGCGTTTTGGGGACCAGTTTAATAAAGGGACTCGATGAGTCAGGTATTTGGACTCGCCGAGTCGGCGTTGTCAAGGAAAACTCTAATTATCTGGGTTTGGGACCTATTTAAAGGCCCTTATGGCCTTCAATGGCAGCCACCTACACCTTTGAGAGACTCCTATCAAACCAGAAAGCTGAGAGAGTAAAGAAGAGCCATTTTGGAGCATTCTTGATGTGGTTGTGCAATGGAGTAGTTATTTCCAGCAAAGGGAGGTCAAGGGAGGTGTCGATTCAGAGCTTCTGAGCTTGCATCTTCACCATAGAGGTATCAAATCGTTCTCCCTTTTCTGTTTTCGGTAAGATTGGTGATTTTAGGGTTTTCTAGTTTCTTTTATGGCTTGATTTGTGGAGTATAGTGTCCCATTGAGTGTGAAGCCATAGATCTGGACCCAAAGAGGTCCAGAGAGTCCTTTCCATCCTGTTTTATGCATTCTATTTGGAGTTTTGAGCTAGGGTTGTTATGTAATGAAGGGTTTCACCCAAATGAGCTTGTAGAACCTTGCATAATTGTGCCCAAGGTTCGACCTTTTCGTGGTTATTGGCTTTGAGGGAGTCAGATCTATGGTTTGGTGAAGCAGATCTGACCTCAGAAGGTCAGATGAGGGTTGTCATGGGAGCAACTCGCCGAGTCCATAGGCAGACTCGACGAGTCGAGTCGGGGTTGCCCCGTGATTCGTTGCCGAGTGATTCGTCGACGAGTCTGGTCAGTGTTGACCGTTGACTTGAGTTGTCTTATATTGACTTTGGGAGTTTTGGTCAACAGAGGTAATAGAGGTCAGGGAGGGGTAAAATGGTCTTTTACCCATTACCTGACTAGAGAGGGAAAGAGTAATCGCCGGTTAATTAGAGTTGGGACTTCGAGTATTAATTAGAGATATTTGCCTTATGTGTTAGGCGGTGGCGAGTCCGAGGTTCGCATGTGCAGATAATTGCTTTCTGATTGCCAGGTGAGTCTTCTCACTATACTTTACCTTGAGTAGGTAACCAGAGTTATGTGATAGAGTATTTGTATGCTTTGTATGTTATGTGTTGTACTACATTATTTCTATGTGATTTATGTTGTGCATGTTTACAGAGTTAGAACCGGAAGGTTCCTAGAGTTAGAACTGGAAGGTTCACAGAGTAGGGTCCACGGACCCACAGAGTTTTAGCCTCGAGTGGCTAATATGTTTTATGTGTGGTATTTTTGGGAACTCACTAAGCTTCGTGCTTATAGTGTTTTGTGTTATGTGTTTCAGGTTTCTCTCAGGATCACGGGACGGCACCGGCTCGATTGTACACACCAGGGAAAGAGTCATGTTTTAAGGATCCTGGTTTATTATGCAAGTGAAATTGGAGTTATGTTTTGTAATTCGATTACGATTGGGATTTTAAGAAAAGTGTTTTTAGGAATTAAACGATTATTTTTAAATGAAAAATTGTTTTGAAATTTACGGTGTTACAAGTTGGTATCAGAGCCTTGGTTTGAGGAATTCGGATGCACCTTCGGGTAAATCTGGACTCAAACTGAGGATTTAAGACAATTTTTCAAAAAGAAATGTGTATTTATAAAGCGAATAAGAGTTACAAAGAGAAAGCAAAAAGAGCAGTGTGTACAATCAGCCAGAGCCCGAACAGTGATTTCCCAAAACACCCTTATTTTGTGTTATGAGATATGTGTGATACATTTTATGAGATATTATGCATGCTAGAGGCAGACTAGGCAATTCATATTTTAGGACTAGAGTGGCCTGGTTTATGATGCCTTAGCCTAGGGTTGTTGATATATGTGATGTGCTTTCGAGTATGTGCTGAGCGAGAGTGTCCAGCAGGAAATTTTTTTTAGGGGGATTCAAGTAGGGGAGTAATATGGAAGAGGTATCTATATGAGCATATGAGGAGCTTGCCGAGAGGGTAGCCAGATACCCACGTGGGGCGGAGTTGTTAGAGTTTAGTGATATCCATCACGTATGAGGAAAGCGAGTGGATAATAACCTAAGGAGGTTTTTCGTGCTGAAGGGGACGCTTCAATGCCCGAATGTTGCTTGCTTCGTGCTTTGTGGAGCTCTCAATGATGGGAGTCAGCTACTAAGTGAATATGATGATATTCAGCAGGTAGATGGTTGGCATCATTAGGAGCTCTTCAGCAGCTGATGGCAGAAAAGTGTGGGAATCTAGGAAGAGCCTAAGGAGTAACCTTAGCCAGATGAGTGCGCTGGCAGAGTAGAGAATTTCACTGGGGAGCGAGCACGCGCGATGAGATTGGTGAACGAGAAGGTCGAGCAGCTACTTAAGAGCTCCGGGATAGTCCGTGTGGAAAGTATGGGTATATGTGGCAGGTAGTATGGGCCCGTACTACTGAAAGAAGAGGACCCATACTTGATACAGGGAGTATTCTGAAGGTTCTAATGAGCGGATTGAGGAGTTATGTTATGGTTCGAGGATCATACATCGGAGCGGATTGAGGAGTGATGTTATGGTTCGAGTACCATACATCGGAGCGGATTGAGGAGTTATGTTATGGTTCAAGTACCATACATCGGAGCGGATTGAGGAGCGATGTTATGGTTCGAGTACCATACATCGGAGCGGATTGAGGAGTTATGTTATGGTTCAAGTACCATACATCGGAGCAGATTGAGGAGTGATGTTATGGTTCGAGTACCATACATCGGAGCGGATTGAGGAGTGATGTTATGGTTCGAGTAGCATACATCGGAGCGGATTGAAGAGTGATGTTATGGTTCGGGTAGCATACATCGGAGCGGATTGAGGAGTGATGTTATGGTTCGGGTACCATACATCGGAGCGGATTGAGGAGTGATGTTATGGTTCGGGTACCATACATCGGAGTGGATGGAGGAGTGATGTTATGGTTCGAGTACCATACATCGGAACAGATGGAGGAGTGATGTTATGGTTCGAGTACTATACACCAGAGCATATTGAGAAGAGATGTCATAGGATGATTACCATGGTTCGTAGTGAATGATGTTTGTGGTTCTCCGGTTATCCGGTCATGATTGAGTTCGAAGAGGTATCCCTTGAGAGGGAGGTCGAGAGCCTTTTAGAGTATTTTGGTAAGGACTCGGAAGGAGGGGAGAATTTCGATCTGAGGTGAGCAATCAGTCGATAGAGGAGATGTCACCTTTTAGGACCTGGGTGGTGCTATTTGTATTCGTGTGCGAAACATGAGAAGCATGATGTTTAAGTTTTGTGTTTGGGGGTAAACCCTGCAGGTTGTCATTGATGATGATTTTCCACTAGAGTATCAGGTAGCATGTGTGCCGCGAGGCAGTGATTTATCATGAGCAGATAGTCAGTTGGGACTGAGATAGTCGAGGACCACGTTACACCTATTTGAGTATAGTAGGGCATATTGTAATGGTATCAGTGGGGAGTCCAGTCGAGTGTATCAGTGCAGTGGTTTTTCTATCTATGTTGGGTATTGAATATGGGAGTGGGTCCCTGTTCTTGGGATGATCCATGTGTTGGAACGTTGGTTGATGAGTCGAGGTGGTAGAGTATGATGATTTCGTGGTTTAGTCTATGAGCCAGTGATGTTATTGGGCAGTTGAGTTGTTTGGTATTGGATTGGTACGAGGCTTGGAACGATTAGAGGCAGTCGTGACGAGAAGTTCTTGAGGATTTCATCTGAGGTTCATAGTATATGAGATCGATTGATTTCCTTAAAGGGGATTATCAGGCGTTGCGTAGCACTTTCCAGGGGCAGGTGCGATTTTGCTGGTGAAAATAGTTTGTGGGATGGTTGTGTGCCAATTGGTGATGGTTCAAACCCTGAGTGGGGGAGAACCGGGTACCGTATGGAAGAAAGCAGAGATTTGTCAAGAACGGTTATAAGTGGGGTATAGAGATCTGTGGTAAGAATTCATGAGACCAGAGTTATTGGTGATCAAGGAAAGGGTCAGAGTGAGATAATGCAGGAAGTAATTGTTTGACAAGGATGAATGTCTCTACGACAGGTGGTCAATGGTTAGGAACCTGGTAGTGGTCAGTGTCGTTGCAAGTAGGTAGAGAATGATTGAGCAGCCAACTCCCGGGTCGGTATGCGTATTCTTGCTTGGATTTTGAGCGGTAGGAAAAAGGGTTTCGGAGAATTATCAGCATATTCCATAGCGTTAGCATTTTCTCGTGTTCCAATTGAGTAATTGGATACACCAAAGTTGGGCATTGGGAAAAATGAAGATCTAATTATGGGGTTCAGAGGAAATGTATTATTGTACCTATATGATGCTTGGGGCAGGAGATCAATGGTTGTGGTAGGATCTTGTGATGTTCTGTTGGGGTGTTCCGAGGTATCCGGGTATGATATCTTGATTTCGGAGTTATTTGAGAATCTTGAGTTGAGACAACTTGTGGTGTATCAAGTATCTATGGTTCCAGTGGGAGCCTTGGGAGTTTTCATCAGGAAGGATTATTTAAGAATGTGGATTTTCTGAAGAAAGAGGTATTTTCTTATGATGATTATCGTCATAATTTATGATGCATAATCGGGGCAAGTGTGTGTAGATAACTATGATAGTCCGCGGAGCATGAGTTAGTGGACATAGTGTGGTGTGGTATGAGATTTAGATTATGGGTAATGGGAGCGAGTGTTGTGATGCTACGGGGAGCCGTAGTATTCACTAGTCAGAGAGTGTTGTGATGCTACGGGGATCTGTAGTATTCACTAGTCAGAGAGTGTTGTGATGCTACGGGGATCTGGAGTATTCACTAGTCAGAGGATGTTGTGATGCTACGGGGAGTTGTAGTATTCACTAGTCAGAGGATGTTGTGATGTTACGGGGAGCTGTAGTATTCACTGGTTAGAGGGTGTTGTGATGCTACGGGGAGTGTGATGATGAAGTGTTCTCCGATCAGAGTATGATGCAGAGGAGTT